ATCTAATTCATCATCTCGACCTCGATAGTTATAAATATAAAATCATAAATATATTTTAGTTTTCATCTATTTAGATAAAAAAAACTCTCAATTTTCATAAATCTCACCCACACTCTTTTTTTTCAATTTTGGATTTTTTAACACCAAAATAACTTTCATGGTAGTTGTATTATCATGAAACATCAGTACAGTACTTTAAGTATCGTAAAAATTAACCTATGTTATACAGTATTTTATATATCGTAAGGAATTGAAGTATTATTTCGGCACTCGAAATGCAGACCCTACCCAAACCTTATTCTTCTTTATGGTTCTTTTTGTATTTATCTCTATTTATCTCTCTAATTTTTTTTATATTTATTTGTTCTTTCTCTCTCTAATTCTTTTTAATATTTATCTATTCTTTCTCTCTTTAAACCGCCAAAGTGAGTAAGATTTAGAGAGAGAAAAAAATAAATATTCAAAAGAATTAGAGAGAGAAAGAAAAAATAAATGTAAAGAAATTAGAAAGAGAAAGAAGAGATAAATACAAACATAACCGTAAAGGAAAAAAAAACTTTTGGGTAGGGTTTATAGTGTGCAATACTATTACGCCATTTTGAGTGCCATAATAATACTTCAACTCCTTACGATATATAAAATGTCATATAACATGAATTAGTTTTTACGGTACTTAAAGTACCGTAATAGTGTTTCACAGTAATACGACAGACATGAATGTTATTTTGTTCAAAAAATGCTCAAAATTGAAATAAAAAGGTGTAGGCGAGATTTATAAAAGTTTAGGGTTTTTTTTTCTAAATAGACAAAAATTAAGATATATTTATGATAATTTCTCAATATAAAAAAATAAATTTCAAACCATAAAAATAGTTTATTTCTAACAAGTTATCTAGTTTTATTTTTAAGATTTTCAAGTGCTTATAGATATGCTTGAATGACACCATTTTTGGAACTTTAAATTTTTGTAATTAGGGTAAGAAAAATATTTTTAGATCATTGTAAAGTTTCTAGCACCAAAACTACATTTTTTGATAAACTTTGACCGTTTATGGTGGACACCTTATAAACCTCCCCTTGTATTTAGACATTCCTTTGTATTTGTTTAGGATGGCAATGGGCTGGTGGCCCAGCCCAGCTCGATCGCCCTAGAAAACTAGGCCTCGGGCCACAATATATGCCTTGAGGGCCGACTCACTGGGCCCCCTTTGCCACCCTTTTGGAAATGATACTATGGTGGACGTACTTAAGTAATGTGCTCCCTAAAATCATTGGATTCAAAATAACCTTGCCCTCTTTATTATTACTTCCTTTGAGTAGGGATTAAGTATATTATTTCCTTGCAAAAATAAGAAACAAACGATATTATGGTGGACCTACTATAAGTATTATGACATGTATATCATAATCCTTCCCCAAAATCTTTGGATTCAAAATACCCTTGCCCTCTTTATTATTACTTCTTTTGAGTAAGGATTATCTATATATATTATTAAGCAAGAGTTAAAAGGATGGACATGTGTCGCGAAAATAAGAAGAGGCCCTAATAGAGGTTGTAGGAGACATTCCCAAATTTAAAGGAGAGATTATTAAGCAAGATTTAAGGGGTGGAAACATGTTCGAAAATAAGAAAGGGCCCTACTTCTATAGAGGTTGTAAGAGACATTCCCACATTTGAGAGAGAGACTTTTTGAAGAGAGAGAAAGACATCTTTTCTCCTAAAATTAGTGTTTGGGAGAGAGACCTTTTGAAGAGCTAGATGTCCCACTTTTAAGGGAAGAAGGAGAGAGATTTTTTGAACTCCTAAATTAGTGTGTAGAAAATAGAGATTTTTTTTGAAATGAGAGATATGTTTTATCATAAAATTAATGCTCGGAAGAGAGAGAGTACTTTCGAAAAGAGAGATATCCCACCTTTAAAGGAAGAGAGACTATATTGGATAAAATAGGTATTCTTATTTAACTGGAGCTTCGTCATTTTGGAAACTGAGTATCTGATTTAAGGTAATGGTTCTCGGTCATGCTTTATAATTTCGATATCAAACATGTTCTTCTTTAAATGCTTTGTTTATGTGTTTGTTTTGGTAGCATTAGCTTGATGGTTTTTCTATGATTTGGATAACTAGGTGTGCTGCACCAGTACTTCAAGATCGGCTTACTGGTGCGAATTTCTTGATCATATGGTTGCCTCTCTCTCTCTCTCTTTAGGTGTATATTTGCCCCTCTCTTGCATGAAAATCTAGAGAAATATTCTGTTTACTGGTGTGAATTCCTTGATCATGTGGGGTGTTTACTGGTGTGAATTCCTTGATCATGTGGGATCATTATCAATTGTTATTTGATTTTAGAAGGTTTCGCATACAAAATCTAGAGATATATAGTTGCCTCTTTCTAAAGATATATAGTTGCCTTTCTCATTCTCTCTCTTGCATGGAAATCTAGATATATATTTTGTTTACTGGTGTGAATTCCTTGATTATGTGGGCTTTGATTATGTTGGCCCTATTGTGAAAATCTAGATACAAATGCTCTTGGCCATGGTATCTGAGAGTAAATTTTATGGAGTAATGATGGATAGGTGAATTTTAGGGTTTTGACATTGATGTGCTGGTTTCGTAGAATAATGTTAGGGTTTTTATTTAGTTCCTTGATCTTTTGGATTAGTTTTTGTTTTTTGTTTTTTGTTTTTTTTTTTTATATTTTGTATTTTTATTTTTATTTTTATTTATTTATCTGAATTTACTGTTTTTTTAAGAATCGTAGGTTTTTTAATGGATTTCTTAGTTTGAGTGTACAAAGTTAAGATTTTTATTATTCTTGAGTCTGTAGAAAAATTTTAGGACATCGAAAATTTGATTTTGATTCAGTAGAATAAGTTTAGTGGTTTTGTTGTTTTTCTTGGATCGATAGAATATTTTTCCAGTTACCAGTATTTCTCTGGCATCTAAGAAATACATGGTTTATTCTATTTACTGGTGTGAAACTAGATAGGTATTATGTTTAATGGTTTATACTAATTGGAAATCTACATAGGGATTGTATCATAGATAGGTATACGATATGTGGACTCATGTAGTATGTCAAGAGTTCTAGGGAACTTACCAAGATATCATGGAGGATTTTTCTATTTTTTTATTTTTTCTATTTTTTATTTTGTGACAAGATAAAGACAGGACTCGGTACTTTTTCATGAAGCATTTTATGGAACCCTTTCGAAACTGCCTGCATTGAAGGCTCATAGATTAAGCACTTAGGAAATAGGAATTATTTAGGCATAATGATTGGGCGATAATATTACTCCGTTTTTGGCTCATAGATTAAGCACTTAGGAAAAAGGAATTATTTAGGCATAATGATTAGGCGATAATATTACTACGTTTTTAGATGCTAGAGGTTATCGGTACAAGGAGGTTTTTTTATAGGGTTTCATTTATTTGCAAAGCCCAAGTTTGAGCTCTATTCCATTGCTTATTTGTCAATCTTCCTAATTGTATTTTTTAAATGTGACATGGACATGATTGAAATTTAGGGAAGAATACGCATGAGTTACATTAATGTCCTGTCTTTACTTCAAATGACACCAAGAAATAATTGTTCTCCTGTTTTAAGGTATTTCAATGCTGCTTTTTTGCTTAAGCATAATGAATTTGGGATATTTTTCCAAATACTATTTGCACTTTGGAAAGAGAATGCTGCTTTTTTGCTTAAGCATAATGAATTTAGGATATTTTTCCAAATAGTATTTGCACTTTAGAAAGAGACAGGATTCTTGGGGATACATGATGATTAGAGAGAAAGACACAACTTAGGGAAACATTGCTTTATGAGGATGAGCAATGAGGGTGCTGATTTTTATGTTGCACAATTATGTTATTTTACAGTATTATTTTTTATTTTGTTAATAATGGCTTTGATTTGGTTACTTTTGTTAATTTTTACAGGTACTTTTTTTATAATAAATTTTTTATTTTTAAATAACTTTCTTTATGCATGCTCTCTCATATTTATTATTTTTACATTTTAATTAAGAAAAATTAAAATGTTTGAATGTTTGTGAGATTCAAAAAGATGGTGTATTGTTTAGTGAGTGTTACAGATGGTTCATGGTATTTCTATTGTGAGAGAGAGAGAGAGAGAAAAAGTCTATTGTGAGAAAGAGAGAGCGAAAAAGAAAGAGAGAGAGGCGTTTATATTTGTTGGATTTCATTGTGGTGCTTATGTTTAATATGTGTGTGTATATACACATAGAGAGAGAGAGAGAGATGTGCTTATGCTTGTTGGGTTTGTGCCTTCTATTTGAATGTTTACATAAATGTTCATTATGTTTCTATGTACTATTTACTGCACGATTATTTATACTATCTTTAATTTAATTCATACATACAACGCAAATAATCTAACTAGTGCATATTATTTCCTTGCTAAAATAAGAATATGTATTTGGATGGGGCAGTCATATTGGTTCATTACTTTGTTTTTTTCTCCTTACGTACATTAGTAATTCACTTCCAATGTCCAAAACTAATAGGAATAAATCTCATTAACCATTACTTTTGTATTATATTTAGAGAAATGATTCTCTCCAAAGCATTTTTCATTGCAATTTTTTTTTTTTGTGGAATGGACTAAAAAACGTTTCGATGTAGCCTCCTCCACTCCTTAAAAAGGTCAAAATGTTGTCCCAAACAGAAGTTCCAAAACGACTCCAAATCCGCAGTAGCTGAAAATGAGATCTAGAGTGTCCATTTAAAGAAATAATGGTGGAACCCCGGGATCTAGAATGTCCTTTAAGTAGGTGTAACTGAATATACCTCATGCATTTCCCTTAAGTCTTTTTTTAACTGATAGAATTTCCTTAAACAAGAGTTCCGCTATGGGATATAGACATTTAAACAAGAGTTTTGCAATGGGTACACTTTTCTCTCATAAGACTTCAGTATTAAGAGGTAGGATTCTTTTCTAAAATTTATAAAAGGCTTGGGAAGCTGAAAAATTGAAGAATAACCAACACGAATCTGAGTCACTTTAAAACCTGCACATGTTTTACAACGGTAATATGAACTAAACACCAAAGCAATTATAATATGAAGACACAAATGCACACCTTGGACTTCACAGGACATAATTAAAACCTCCCAAGGGATGACGTCCGTATAACCCAGAAACAATTACTTGTCAAACCAATTAAGATGGACATAAAATTACAAATACCAGAAGAGAATCACTTAGCAAAAATATTTACCCAACCAAAGAAAGAAAGAAAAAGAGGTTGGCCTAATTAACTGGGACCTTAAATCTCTTCCCTATCTCTGAATCAGAAAACCTTCTTCTGTGTTGAAGTAATGACGCTTTGTTAATAGTTTGCTTGGAAAAAGACACGGACACCCTCTTGTTTTGGGGAATAGATAATGGTTTAGTACTAGTAGGGCTGAAGACAAAGCCTGAGTCCTCAGATCCGGGTTTCTTAGCAGACAATCTCAACGGTTTGGTATTCGAATTCCTCATATCATTTTCAAAAGAAATATTCAAATCTTTTGATAAATGGGTCTTTTCATGCTTCCGAGGAGCCAGTTCTGACGAGGTTCGAATAGAAGAATCAGTCTTAAGCCTCTGGCGGCTGCACACTGTGGGGGCCATGAATCGAGGAAGAGAGAGAGACCCATTTGCTGTTATTGATTTCTCAAGAGTTGTTGGGGTCTCGACCATCTCTCGTTGGTTTTCTTGACGATTTCCCTGATAGCTTTTGAGGTCTTCATGAAGCCCGTAGGCCAGGGCATAGAGCCTCTTCTTTTCACGCACCTGGTTCTCTACTAGTTGGATTTGGTTTCTCACCCTACGGCATTCTCCTTCTGCATCTCTCATCGCCTCTTCAAGCTCGGTTATCCTCTTTTCTTTTTGTTTCTTCAATTCCTTTGCAAAAGAACATGAAAACCTTCACTTTAGATTTCTTTGGGTTTTAAGTTTAGTGCTTTACTATAATTACTTTCCTCATGACACTTCAAATTTTTTAGTGCCGTAGTTACATTGCAGCTGAAAACAGAAAATGATAGTGAATGGTCCCAAGAGGTTTATTTGGTAAACAGTATCAGGTTCATGGGAATAAATTAAGGTAAACTGCCACAAGATTTAGCACCTAGTCTTCTGCCAATACCATAACATATTCACAAGGGGCACAATTTGTGAAGAGCATCAGTTCAAGGGCTTTTGCCAATACCGTAATATGCTTTCTCAAATGCCCATTTTCACATCAGTTCAAGGGCTATTGCCAATACCATAATATGCTTTCTTAAATGCCCATTTTCACCAATCTACACTGAATTACAATGTACAAGCTCAAAAACTTGGAGGGCATTTTTTTTTAACAGTAATTGTTTAGATGGTCCCCTTCTATGAGATAAACTCAAGTTTCAGGTTGGTGAAGTTCAAATATATTTAAGTTTTGGGGATTAGATGATCCGATTCTCCATGCTACATGCCCAGGAAAAGAGGAGAAATAGCAGGTAGTGGGTTACGTACCTCTGGAATTTCTTTACTCGACTCAATGCCTCTTGCTCTTTTAGCAAAACTCAGAGAACAGATTGACTCTCCAATATCGTCTTCCCTTGGGCTGAGATGCACAAGCATCAAAGCCTTTGACCTGTCTCCTATATAATAGGTGGAAATATTAGGCTTAGAAGATAAGCCTATGATTACACTACAAAAGGACTTCAATATGCAATAGCAATGTTAAAAAAAATCGACTCAGCCAAGGTTCTCGGACCTGGCCGAGGCGAGTCACCGTTCAAATTTCATCGTTCGATCACGATTGTCTGGTAGTTTTTTATTTTTCATTTTTTTTTTCTACAAATCTAAATGACCTAAAATTTGGAGGGTATGGACGTCTTGCGGAAACGCATCTGGTAAAAATATATAAAAAAAAAAATTCGAGGGATTTTGGTCATTTTTTTATGTTTTTTTATATTTTTCGAATTTTCTCCTATTTTTTATGAATACAGGCTCCAAATTTCAAGTCATTCCGATTTGTAGAAAAAAAAATGAAAAATGAAATACTACCGGACAATCGTGACCGCACGATGATGAACAGTGATGGGGGTAGGCAAAATCACTGTTCATTTTCGCCTATAGACGTTGCGTAGT